AAAAGTGACCGTGTCAAATCTCAGCCCCAGCTGTTGTACATTTGTCCACTTTCCACTTCCGGGGTTTTGCCATGTGCGTCTGGAGCTGCGGGCAGAGTGAGGGTCTGTCACTCTGAACTGCCCTTCTTTACCTTGCATGACACCCCCTCACAGGCCACTCCGGCCCTGGGCCTGGTTCTGGCTGTTGGAGACCCGGGGGTGAGCCTCGTGGCCCTGGGCCCTCACGGATGATTCCAGGATGTGTGCTGTCTCGGGGCATTTGAAAAATTTTGCTGGCCGGGCCCATGTTTGTGACATGTCCTGGGTTCTGGTCAATACCACGGACAGAGGGCCCGTGCCGGCCACACTCACTCTGTCCTGGGAGGCTGCGGAGCCTTCCGTCCGGGGCAAGGGGCCATCAATCTCAAAGTGATTATGGACATGATTTCTTCCCGGTTCCCTGAGCGCGAGTGACCGGCGTGGCCCCGCCCCAAATTACATCTCAATCAGTGTAAAAAGGCATTTGACATTTCCCTTGATTTATGTACTAACCTTTACATCCAGGCGCGCGGCTGCACTGATTGGTTTCCTTGGCTTCGAGGTGGCAGCTCCGCTGGGAGCGCTTCTCAGTGCCGAGCAGCTCCCTGAGACGGGCTCACCGTGGAGACCCCTGGCGAGACCCCGCCGCCACCTGCCTGGGGAGGAGACATTCCCACAAGATCTGGGCCCTCACAGGTGCCCCTGCATGCCCGTGTCTCGGCACAGAAAGGATTGGAAAAGCCGCCAAGGTTGTGCCAATGTGATCAGGTCGTGAGGGTGGTGACAGACCCATGTGACCCCAGTGACTGTGCGGCTGGGAGTGATGGGTGTGACGTCCCAGAGACCCCCATGGGTGCCTGCCCCACCTCTCACAGCCACCTGTCACTCAGAGGGTGGCTTTACTGGAGGGTGTCACGCCCTCCCCGACACATCCATAGCACCTACACTTGGCACACTCATGTGCACATGCACACAGGCACCAGCAAAACCTGCGGAGTTACCCATGCATGCACACTCACAATGCACACTTGCAGGGGCACACTCATCCAGAGCTCACAGGCACGAACTGGCAGACATGCACATCCAGCATTCACACTCACGCCAAGAATGCCACATTGGTGAACTGATGGGAGGAGAAGTCCCTTCTGCTCCCAGGGGTCCAGAGCACCAGGACAGACAGGGCTGGGCATCACACCTGCCAGGCTAGAGGTCTGCAGCTGGTCCTGCATATGTGGTCTGAGCCAGACTCGGTGCAGCGAATGCCTCAGAGGTGACCCCAGGGGGCGGGGAGGGTGGGCAGTGAGTACGAGTTCAAGAGCACTGGGAGAGTCGGTACTGCCTCAGCTCAGAGATGGGGCTGGAGATGCGGAGGCTGAGCTGAGTGTCTACACACCTAGTCTACACACCTAGCCGCTGGAGAGCGGCCCCTGTGTGGGGACACACGAGACACAGTGCCCAGTGCCCCCCCCCCCACTGCTTCCCTGTCCAGCACGCCCTTGCTATGCTCGCTCTGAGCCTCTGGCACCCCCACCCTTGCCCTGCACCTCCCAGCTGGCTGCCAGGTCAGTATGGTCCTGACCTCAGTGGCAGGGCTCTGTCCTGCCCTCTCTGGGACAGAGGATGTGGCAGAGTTGTTTGTACCCTTCCCCAGAGCTGTGAGTCTGCAGACCAAGCCCCCAGCACAGGGCGGGCAGGCGGGCAGCACAGGGGTCTTGACTACCTGCAGGTATGCCCTCTTGCAACTGCCCCAGCAGCAGAGAGACCAGGACTATAGTTCCCAAACTCTGATGCATCAGAAAGTTTATGAGAATGCAGATTCCAGCGTCCTCCTCAGCTGTATCGATTCAGAACTTGTAGGAGAACCTGCATTTCTTTCCTAGGGGGCTCAGACTCGGTGACCTGTAGACCAGGTTTCCACATTGTGCTTGAGCATGAGGGCCTTTAAGCTGTTATGTCTGTTTCACTGGTCATGATTCCACCATTAGGGATATATTTCTTGGGCTAAAGCATTTATCCTCCATTGTGGAGCAAATACTGAGACACTTTTGTCTAAACCAGATCCCTTCCGTTGGGAGTGTTAGAGTCACAAGTCACACTGCCTTGAGCTCAATAGGGTATTATTGGCATAGATAATTGGAAAGTAACAGCTTCAGGCATGACTGGATCTAGGTGTTATCATGCTTTCAAGAATCTGTCTCTCCCCACCTTTTGGCTCTGCTTCTGGCTGTGCTATTTATTCTCCAACAGGCTTTTCTTGGGCAGTGGCAAGATGGCCACATACAGTCCCAGATTCACATTCCACCAGCCAGAGAACTCTTTTCCCACTGTTCCAGCAGAGGCCCTGGGGCCGGGGTTTACTCAGTCGTTTGGGGGTCATGTGACCCTCCCTGCACCAATGTCTGTGGCCAAGGGGAAGGGGTAATCTGACTGGGAAAGTCTGGATCCATTCAAGGATGAGGGGTGTGCCAGGTAGCCATAGGTGGGAGGGTCTGTCCCCAAGGGAACAGGTGGGGACAGCTGCAACGACTGATTCCCAGTATGATCCACTGGGCAGAACAGACACTCTTCCGTTGCAGATGTGGACTCCTCTGAGCACCGGGCTGCCTGTCCCTGTGCTGGCTGCAGTGTGGGACCACCCTGCTCGGGGAAGGGCCTGTGCCCCTCGGTCTGCTCCTCCTGCTGAAGTCCAGGTGTCGGGGGCAAGCTCCAGAGGCAAGAAGAACAGGAGCCAGAGAGGCAGACCCAGAAAGAACCAACACAGGATGTGAAGGCTCCAACCCAGGATAGCACCGCCGAGACCCACAGACACATCCAGCCACCCCTTGTCCCATAGACTGTGACATGAGGCCCTCATGTCTGTTGGTGGGGGGCACAGAGCCATGGAGGCCCATCTCTTCTCTTGGCCTCCATCTCTCATCTGTAGAATGGGGATCAGTTGCCTGCTCCATCATTTGTTTGCTTCAAGCGCTGTGGATAGTGCCTGGGAGGGTCCCTTGGCTCTAGGACTGGACTATGGGGTCCCTGAATGCTGGCCCTGATGGGGGCAGCTGCAGGTGGACGGCAGGCATCCCTGGCAGCCCAGCCAGCTCGGGCTCACAAGCAGGGCGGACATGTCCACATTCCATGTTTGGAGCACTGGGCTCCTCAGGCTGGGCCTGGCTCAGCCCCTCGCCCCAGCCCCCCGCCCCAGCCCAGACCAATGCCTACAGGGGGGCGATGTCAGCCCTTTGTGACTGGCGAGCTGGAGGTTTGCCTGTCTGCCTCTCTGGGCTAATGTGAGACACAACAGCCAGTTTCCTGGACAACATCGGGTCAAGTCAGTTAATCTAAACAGAAAACAGTGGGGAAAAATTTTTCCCAACTTTTCAGATACTGCAGACACATGTGGCCTTCTTGCCTTCGTGTCTGGAATGTCCCGCTCTGGGGGCCTAAGACTTCTCAGGAGACAAGGACATGTCTGAGATGCACTTACCGAGGCGCCTGCCTAGTGCAGGATGAGCACAGGGAGGGGACAGGGGGCAGTGTGGCCTGGAGAGCTCCTGCCCCTTCTGCTCCATCATGTCCCTGCCGCTCTGGGGTGGGAGATGCCAGGGACCTTGGGAGCCTACATGACCCACCCTGAGTGACGTGGCCCTGGCACATCTCTCTGAGGCTCTGCTTCCTCCTCTGTGCCCCCTTAGATGCTGGTTGCTCTATACCTACCATCTGAGCATGGGCCTAATAGCTATGTCTGCCCGTGGGCGCTGAGAGCCTGGACAGAGGAGGGAATTTTGCAGCATGATTTGAAAGCCAAATAGGTTTTTATGAGGCCTTGAAGATGGAAAAGGCATTGTGGGAGAGAAAGCTACATGTGCCGGGGCGCGCCGGTGTGACAGCAGCAAGTAGATCCAGCCAGCAGCGCCCAGTGAGACTGCCATTTCCTCTCTGAGCCTGTAGATGAATGATACGACAGTGTGCATGTCCCATGCTGTGTGCCCTGTGCATGTGTGGAAGTGGCTGTGAGTGTGTGCATGTGTGCAAGCACCCATGAGTATGTGCACGTGCCTGTGAGTATGTGCAAGTGTGCAAGCACACACGAGTGTGTGCAAGTGTGCAAGCACCTGCAAGTGCCTGCGAGTGTGCGCACATGCCCGCGATTGTGCGTGTGTGCAAATGCCCATGAATGTGTGCATGTGTGCAAGCACCCGTGTGTGCATGTGCCCATGAATGTGCGTGTGTGCAAGCGCCTGTGAGCGTGCATGTATCCGTGAGAGTGCATTGTACAAGCGCCCGTGAGTGTGCATGTGTCCGTGAGCGTGTGCATGTGTGCAAGCACCTGCAAGGGTGTGCACGTGCCTGTGAGCGTGTGCATGTGCCCATGAGTGTGCACATGTGCAAGTGCCCGTGAGAGTGTGCGTATGTGCAAGCACTCGTGAGTGTGCACGTGTCCGTGAGAGTGTGCATGTGTGCAAGCACCCGCAAGTGTGTGCACGTGTCCATGAGAGTGTGCGTGTGTGCAAGCGCCCACGAGTGTGTGCGTGCATAAGTGTGCACATGCATGATGGCCATCTCAGCCTCTTCCGTCTGTGAATGGCTAGGGTGGGAACCTGAGGGCCCAGATTTACGCGTAGCCGGGGCTGCTCCAAGCTGTGGTCTCTCTCTGAGCCTCAGGGTCCCCCTTTGTCACATCAGGGTGTCCTCTGCCCACACCTCCCAGGATGCTAAGATGGCGGCTGTCAGAGGCCACCCAAGAAAGACCCTCTTCCTTCCACAGAGTCTGGCAGAGGGCACATCTGCATTAGTAAATCTCTCTCAGATGTGGATGATACATAGGCAGTCAGGCCGCACGTGGGTCACCACCCTCACCCAGCACCAGAATTTCCCTTGAACAGAACTCTCCAGTCTGGGTGGTTCTGGCTCTTGTCTTGTGGCACCTGCTTGGCTGAGAGAGACAAAAGTGGCTTCTCTGGGACTTTCCCAGAATCCCTGCCACGCAGGTGCACTCAGCCCGGACCTGTGTCACTGAGGGAGGCAGCGGCTGCACCACCACCCTGGCCCCGCTGCCCACCAGGTTCCACACTGGCACGGCCCCGCCACCCCACCTTCTCGCTGGGGACAGAGCTCCCTGCTCGTTTTCCTCCAGGGTTCCTGCCACTGGTGGCCAATTGCATCTGTGGCCGGTAAAAAGGGGGTCTAGACCAGGAGCCACCGGGGCCCTGGCTCTAAGGTCATCCACGTTTGCTGAGCACTGCACAGGGCTCCAGCGCATGGGGCTGGTGGCTCACCACAGGTGTCCTCAGTGGGACAGAGTTGGTGACACAACTCATGTCAGGAATGGACGCGACACACTGTCTACAACTGGATCCTTCCCGTGAACCAGTGTGAGAGACGGCTGGTTTGACTCTCTTCCTCTTGCTCCAAACTCGGGGCAAGTACCGTGGTGTCTCTCAAAGCCAGAGAAACTCTGGAGGGTGAGGATAGGCAATTGAGGGGAGTCCTGGGCTCGGGGGGACCTGGGGACCAGCGGGAGTGCATGGTGAGTGTGGGAATGCACGATGGTTGGAGCCCCTGACAGGCCACAGGGCGACTGACTGGGAGGCACAGGGCGAGGGGTTAGGGCAGGGCCTCCCAGCGGTGCGCACACCAGCCCAGGCAGAGCGGTTACACCGGTTCAGATGTTCCCACTCAATTTCCTTTTCTTTGGAAACTGCATGGCCGTGTGACCGTGCCTCATTATAAATCTAATTCTGCTGTCTCGGTTGAGCAAGCTCACATCGATGTGGACGGGGTTCTGAAGTGGCCTAAAGCTGGGGAGATGTGGCCGCACAAGAGCAGAGGGGCTGTTAATTTGCAGTCAACCACAGCGAGGCCTGACAAACAGCACCTTCCGTTCTAGGAGCAAGTTTCTCCAGAATGTAGCAAGCGCTCGGGTGAGACCCACCTGCATAAGATGTACTTGGTATTTTTAATGGGATGAAAACATTCATTTTGCAAATGTTTATGGATTGCTAATTTGGCGGAATACAAAATCGAGTTACAGGCGATAGACAGCACATGCCCTTCTGCAGCTTCCTCCTGGAGTATTTGCTGACAGGGCTATACGCCAGGCTCATCCCCATGGGGCAGGGGGCGGCAGTCCTCATGCCCCCTCCCCTAGAAGGCAGGGGGCCGGGAAGAGGAGGCCGCATGTGGGTCCACACCCGCCTCACAGTCCCGAATTGGAGTCCCTGGTACTTGCTCAGCGGTCAAATGGTGGCTGTAGTTTAGGGCTGCAGGGGTCCTGGAGTCTGATTCCATTTAACCTCCAGCCTAGAAGGTTGGCCTGGCTCGGCCTGGCATCCTGGGCACCTGGGTGGGGTGGGATGGACCGAGGACCTGCCTCTGCTCCCACGAGCTCTGGGAGGCCTCTCTGAGCCTCAGTCTCCTCCTCTGTGAAATGGGGCTGTGCGTCTGTCCCACCCCTGCCCTCAGCCGTCGTGGTGTGCAGCAGGTGCTGGGGGGGGCGGCATGTCCGTCCTCTCCTTGACTGTCACTATATTATCCTCCTCTCTAGGGCATGAGCTGGAGGCACCCCGAGAAGAGGCAGGTGAGGGCAGGCTCCCAGAGAGTGTGGGGACCCTGGGCCCCGGCCCTGCACTCTCCCACCTCCCAGAGTGACGCCCGGGTATCACACTGCTGCCTGGCCAATGACCCTGGGGTCCTCTAGACAAACTGCTGACAGGTGTGGTCAGACCCCCGCGTTCAAACCCCACCGCACACCTTTGTCTGCCTCCCCCGTGAAATGCAGAGTCAGATGACCCACTTAACGTGGCCTGAGGATCTTCAGAACAGGGCCTGGCATGTGGGGAACCCTCAGCAAATACCAGCACCCTGCCGCCGCTGTTGTCCAGGTCGCTGTCTGGGCCGGACCCCTGACTGCCGGGCTGGGGTCTGTGGGGTGAGCACAGCCGTCCTGTGCGTGATGGGATGCCCTTCCGCCCCGCCCCCTAGGGGAACTTCTGGGCGTGCAGCATCACCACATGCCCTACCTGTGCAGCTTGCCTGCCCTCCCCACCAGGGTCCCGCCCCCAGGCTCCTTTCCCATCCTCACACACACCCTGGGTGGACGTCCTCTGTGAGTGGCCTGTTGTGGGGCCTCCGCCCGGTCACGAAACCCTTGAGGATTTTCCTCCCCAGCACCGCCTTCAGCCGCTCTTCCTCAGATGAGCACCCCTCTCTACCCCAGTGCTGTCCAGGGGAGCCGCCCCCTCGGACACCTGCGTGACTGAGTCCATGGCCACAAGGTAAAGCACTGGTCTCACTTCCAACGGGAGGCCCCTGGGTGTCAGCCTCCCCTGCCTGGGCTGAGTGGCCTCTTCCACCATCAGGGTCTCCCTGGTCCAGTTCCTTGTCTCACTGTTGTTGGGGCTGCACCCACACGGCCCAGGGTCTGTCCTGGAGGGATTTCAGAGGGAGTCCAGACGCTACGGAGGCTCCTCCCTGGCCTTGTACCCAGCTCAGTGCCAAGGGCTTCACTTCACAATGGAGGGATGAGGCAGAGAGGGAAATGCTGCCCAACCCCCAGAGTGGGAGGCCAGAGTAGATTCACTGAGGAAGCTGCACACGTGGGAGAAGGAGAGTCCCCCGGCACCACCCCTCCCACTCTGGAGGCTCCGGGTGGCCCCATCCCGGCCTGCCTGTGGGGACACAGGAAGCTGGCAGTGCCCAGGGCAGATGTGAGGTCCCAGGGAAGGAGCAGGGGCCCTGGGGGCTCTTCAAGGAAGGGAGGTGCCCAGAGGACTTGCCCGGCTTGGGGGAGCCGGTTTCTATGAGGCTTCTCATAGCCCAGAGCCAGTCCCTTCCCCGCCTCCCTCACGGGGTGTGAGCTGAGCAGAGCATTGGGGGTGGATGGGAGACATGAGATGGGAGACATGGTCCATTTCAGCTAAGTCCCCAGGGGTTCTGTGTGTGGCCCATGCTACAGATGAAGAGCCCAGGGCTCAGGTGGGCAGATGGCCTGTCTGCGGACATGCACCTGCAAGGCTCCCAGCCCGGTGCTGCTCCCTGCCCCCACCTGGGAGGCCAGGACCATGGGTCCACAGGCCTCCAAAGTCATTCGGGGCAGCTGACTGAGGCCTAGAAGATGCCAAGGAGGGCTGGTGCCAAGAGGAGCTCTAGAAGACCCCTCTCACCCTCTGTTCACTCTCCTGGCATCACCCACCCAGCCAGGACCTGTGTCTTGGTTTCATGAGCACAGGATGGGACAGGTCAGGAAGAGACACTTGAGGACAAGAGCAGGAGACATGCAGTGCGTGTCTGCCCCAGTAAGGGAGCCAGTATGGAGGCCACATTAACCAAGGTGAAGTGCCCAGAACATAGGAGGTGATTGTCCTGTAGGAGTTCCATGTATCAGAAAGAACAGTGACAAACTGAGGCAAATGCAGGAGATGCACTTCAAACTTCAAAGGCTAAAGACATGGGTGTTTGTCTTGGACTTGGGGGCGGGGCTGGGACAGCATTTTCCCTTCCCTGTGCTTCCCTCCAGCCACACTGGCCTTCTGCAAGCCACCCCCCGCCGCCGACTCCTTCCCCCGCCTCAGGGGTTCAGCTTACCACCCCCCACCTGGAATGCCCTTCCTCTTGGCATGCGGGCCCCTGCCTGTCCTCAGGGCCTCAGCTTGAAGGTGGCCCTCGGAGGGCCCTGCTTATCCACCCAGTCGGAACTGGTTGTTGTCCCCCAAGCTGTCTGCTGTCTCAGCTGCCTGGGCACAGGCTTCCTTCCCAGCCTCCTGGATATGTGAGCGCTCTATGCATGCTGCTGGGATGCAGGCTGGTCCATAATTGCACCTAGCACGGGGCTTATGGATGTTTGTTGAATGAACCTCTCCATCAAGGAAGGAAGGGATTTGAAGAGAAAGGAGGCCTTTTCTCTGCTTCCCGGGGGGGGGGGGGGAGCAGACCAAGGGCCAAAGAGTGGCTTGGGATGGAGGGCACTGTTGGCTAAGGGAGGCCTCTCTGGGGAGACACAGCGATGCCGGACCCCAGGGCCGGACAGGGCGGGGGTGGGGAGGGCATCGTCCAGGGCCACTTTGTACTCCTAGACCTGCTCATGCTCCCATCCCAGGGTTCTCTCCCGTCCACCCAAATGTGGTCTCCTTTGGTCTCTGGCTGTGGTGGAGGGCCCAGGCCCGGCCAGCCGCTGTGAGGAAGGACATCCTCCCACGGAGTCTGGGTGAGGAAAAGCTCAGCCTGGATGCCGCCCAGCCAGGAACTTTGCTCTACACAATGGTGGTTTGCACACACCTCCGCTGAACTCACGCACAGCAGCGCCTCCCAACTTTGTTAATGGAAACCCGGTGATCCGTAACCGTGTGGCAGACATCTGCTCGGGGGTAATGTGGTGGTAATGTACATATCGGTGATCAATCAGCGGATTTGCAAGAGAGGCATAAAGTATTTAATTAGACGTGTGCTGGGCGAGTCTGTGTGGTGGCGGTATTTGAATAGGTCAGAGCCGACCCTCACCCCTGCAATGTTGTTTGGGATTAAATGCCACTCACTTGAAAGACTGGAAGACCTGCCTTAGTTGTGGGATATCACACGCTGGCAAATTGAAAATGTCCCTTCGCTTTTAAAAACATGATTGATATCCTTTGCAAAACAAATGTTATGCCTCATAGTACACGGACCTCGCCTGTCTGGCACCACCCCTTTGCTCGCCGGCAGCCGGTGAGCACCTGCCCCGGACCCTGTGCACGGCGGAGGGCGTGCTAACAGCCTGTCTGGTTGCCAGGCCTCCTCTCCCCCTCCAAGGCTGGGGCTTCCAAAATTGCCCTCTTTAGGACAGAGGAATTTTCTGTTCCGTCAGGCTTTGCTCACCAGAACAAAAAGTGGGAATACGGCTAGAACCCGAAAGATAAAATGCAGATTTTATTTGCTTGATTGGTAGCAGAAAAATCAGATACTCTGTATGCCATCTACTTATGTATAGTAAGTAGCACCTGCGCTGCCCCACCTGCGTCGTATCTACTACCATTTAAAACAATGCTTTTAGCATGAATGGCAAAGGGATATGAATAATGGGAACACAGACAGACATCACACCTACGATGCACACGTGCACATACGTGCACACAGACACTCTGAGTCTGCATGAGCCACAGCTTGGAGGATGTGTTAGCAGCCCAGCCCCAAAGCCACATGCCTGGGCCCTGGGCCTGGGTCCACCTGCATGCGGGCCCCATCTGCAAAGTGCGGATGAGAAGTAGTGCAACCATCAACCAGGGCTGGTGTTCCTGCCATGGAGACAGCCCGTCTGGGCTCAGCATGGTGCCTAGCGGGCAGTGAGGGCCCACCAATGTTGGGTGCTTTCCCGGCAAAGAGCTCTGGCATCTGGCATTTGCGAAGGAGAGATGTCCTCTGTGTTGCAGGCCTTAGCCCTTTTTCCGGAGGACTGTTTGAGGCAGGGCTCCCCTCCTCCCATGAGGCCAACTGGCTGCCCCATGGGGCAGGGCCTGGCCAGACCAAGAGAGTGATGGCAGGCAGGCGGTGGGCACATCACCACCAGCACTCATCTCTGGACTTGGGGATCAGGCATTTCACAACATTCATAAGTAACGGCCTTCTCCCCTCTTCTCAAAACGATTACGTCAACCCGAGGAGTCTCTACAGGGTGGACAGATAATAATGCTGCAGTTTAATGAAATGTCAGCTTGTCTGAATCAGAAGCGAGCCAGTCTAAGTGAGTCTCTTGCATGGCTCTGTCTGTCTCCACCTCCTGCCCGCCTTCCTTTACCGGTCCGGGTTTTTCAGAGTCCAATAAAGCACAACCATGTAGTTCCCAGTCGAGACAGTCAGCCTCCTTGGGTGTGTTTTTGTTGTTTATAAAATTAGCCAATCATTGTCACCTAGTGGATCAGATTAGGTGTAATCCATACTAATGTTCAAATTAAGTCATGGAAAGCAATTAACTCCACAAAACTGGGCTGGTGAAAAATGATAAGGTTGGTCAAATAGTTTCACTGTGCATAATTGCGTTTTTTAAAATGCCCATCTCCACACAGTAATTAAATCATTTACATTTCAGATGGAGTGTACCCGCCCCTAATGCTTGTCATTGTGCTCTCCTAATTGTGCACCTCACAGTGTAGCAGGGATCCATCAGCCGCCTGCTACGGAATGTCTGCCTCCTTGGGAAACCAGCTGGGTGGAACGTGCCCCAGTAGAAGCATGCTGCCTGCTCAGAAGAACCAAGAAAAGTGTGCTCTGCCCCATGTTGTCCCAGATTTGAACCCCTCCCTCCTCCCTCTTGCTCCTCCCTCCTTCCTGCCTTCTTTCCTGTATAAAAAAGTGCACAGGTTTTCTCAAGCAATCATCGACTATTCTGTTCACACTTACTCTTTCGATCACATCATCCGTAGCAGGGCCACAGTCAAAAACCTCGGGGCGACATTCATGGGATCAACTGATATCTGACTTCACTGTTTGCACTTTATTAGTATCACTTTTAGCTCTAGGGAAGATGCCCACCCACTTCGCCAACTGTAGACCGAGCGCACCGGCTGCCTTCCAGGGTGTGGCTGTCTATGCAGCCAATTCTCAGATTATGGAGGGATGAAATGCTACCTTGGGTCTAAGTGAACGTGGCCCTAAACCTGTGTTCCTATTCCTCAGAGAAGGATCATTCAGTGAATCCAGAGCAAATGCTTCAGTCAAGCAGGACCCCGTGGGTCTTCTGGCAAGGGAACTTTCTCCGAAGGATGAAGCCGGAAGACTGACCTCCTGTCTCTCCAGCCCAGGGTGGTTTTCAGCACCGAGCAGGGACGCTTTTGTGGAAGTTAGTAGGATGTGGCAAAACCTTGCTTCTTGGTTCGAGGTGGGGTTGCAATCACCTGGAAGACCCCAGACTAACTGGGTGCCAGCCCTGACTCATACTGTCCAAAGGTGGAGGTTCATTTGCTGGGTTTCCAGCCGGGAGTTTCTGCCCTCCTGGGGGCCGCAGGGATACCTGAGCCCTGGAAAAGGGTCGGGCGAGGACAGGATGTAGTCAATGCTGAACTTGATGCCCCTGGGCTCCTCCTTCCCCGTGGCAGCGCGGCTAACAGGGCCCGGGGGCTGGCGGTGAGGGGCTGGCTCAGGCGGCCCCGGAGGCCCCTCTACGCCCCCCGCCCGCGCCTCCCCCGCCCCGTCCCGCTTGGGGCCACGGCGCCGGCGCCGCCGCCGGTAGTTGCCATTCTCGAAGAGGTCCAGCAGCGACTCGCAGCCGCCCGCGAACGTCCAGTAGTTGCCCTTGCCCTTCTCGTGGCCTTCCGTCCGAGGCACCTGCGGGAGAGGGAGGGGCTCCGCGAGGGGCTGGCCCCCGGTGCGCTCCTGCCCACCCCTCTCCGCGTCTGGGCTCACTTAGGACTCCCAGACAAGCACTGGTTAGGTCCCTGTCCTTGCGGTGTGTGGCGTTGCTCATGGAGCACGCTGGAGGCACTAAATTTGCTAAAAAAGAACTTTCCAGCAACTGCTGCCGCAAAATCCTCCCCCGCGCCCAATCAAGGTGACTTGGCCCAGGAGCCCCCAAGCTTGGGACACTCGGGGGCCATTCCGGGGAGCGGGGCCGGGGCGGGGTCTCACCTTGACAAAGCAGCTGTTGAGGGACAGGTTGTGGCGGATGGAGTTCTGCCAGGCGCGCTGGTTGGCTCGGTAGTAGGGGAACTTGCGCATGATGAAGTCGTAGATGCCGGACAGGGTCACCCTGCCCGAGGGGCTCTGCTGAATGGCCATGGCGATCAGCGCGATGTAGCTGCAAATAGGGGCGCATGGGGCCACGCGGGGCGGAAGAGGGGACGCCGCGGTGTCTGGAATCCCCTGCAGCCAGGAGCCCCTCTAGAAGCGCACAACTCCTCCGCGCCCAGGGCTCCGTGGTGTGTGGGAGGTGCCGGCGGGAAGGGGTTTTTTGGGAGCGAGAACTCTGGAGTTCCCCGCTCCCCGCTTCGGCCCAGACCCAAGAAGCTCATCTTCACACTTGGGAGTTTCCTCAGGGAGGTTGAGAGGACATGCAGAGGAACGTGTCCCTTCTCTGAATCCCACCCCCCAGCCCGCCCTCCGGAGAAGAAAGCCCTCCCTCCGTCCCAGGAGGTCCTTGAGGAGGAGGGTCCCCGGCCCGCCGGCTCCCACCACGCACCCCGCGGTCACCTGTACGCCGGCCGCGTGAGCCGCTTCTCCTCATCCGAGCTGCCGGCTGGGTAGTCGTCGGCGTCGTAATTGAAGCAATTGTAGGGATACTGTGAGCTGTCAAACATCTTGGCGCACCCGGCGCCCGCGGGGAACACCGCTGTCTTTGCCACCTCCTCCGCGCCGCCCGCCAGCCCGCCAGGTCTTTGCTGAGGTCCTGCGGGGCGCGGGCCAGCAGCGTCTGCACTGCGGGCTGTTCTACGCCCGAGCTGGGAACCTGGGCTTCTGGGGTCCCCCACCCGCGCCCACCCCGTTCTCTCGCATCCAATCCCAGCGTGGGGGAGGCCCCAGCCAGCAGGAAAGCGGCTGAGGGGAGCTGAGCGGGGCTCTGGGTGACCCTCTGACCGCCCGCGGACCGAGGGAGGAGGGAATGGCGCGCTGGGTGGTCTGACAGGCGGGGCGCCACCCCCCCTCCTCCCTCTGCCGCCCGGGTGTGCGTCGCCGCGCTCCCAGCGCGGGGCCCCACATTTCGAGGCAGGGTCGCTGGGTATCCCTCCCACCTGCCTCCCCGCCCCTGAGCCAGAGCTGGGGCTCCCCGTGGGCTCCCTGCACTGGCGGATGTTTCCTCAGAGCTCGGGGGTCTGTGCGCCCTGGGCGCGCACGGAGACACTAGGTTCTTCCCTGGCGCCGGATCCCAGAGTGGACTCTTGGGTGGCCAGAACAGAGCCATGAGCCAGGCCACAGACAGGGCTGCGACTGTTGCCTCCCCCACTACCAGGCTCGGCCCCACCTCCTGCCCCAGAGCAGCAGAGTCCAGGCAGGATAGTTTGGGCCCTGCTGGTGTGTCCCTGCCTGGAGCACTGGATCAGAGCCCGGTCAGAGACAGAGGGTCCAGCATTTCCTCCAAGGCCCTGAGTCCCAGCGGCGCTGTCCCTAACTGCCCAGAAGGGTGCCTCCTCCAGGTCCCAGCCAGCCTGTAAGGGAGCCCCTGAGTGCCTGGGGCACAGGGCTTTCAGTCCTGGGAGCGCACTTCACAGCTTAGCCACTACTTTACTCGTCCCTTCTAGCTCCAAAGCTGTGGTTCCTTGTATGGGTAGATGCATGCGGAAGAGAAGACAAGGTATGGGAATTTTAGGAAAAAGAATGAGGTGGGATCTTGCCAGGCAGGGTGTGGCGGGGGGCGGGGGCGGGGGGGGGGTAGTGTCTGTTTCACAGTGGATGTGCCACCAAAGGCATTTCCATGAATAATCTGCAGAATTCTGAACTGACCCATGTCTGTGAATCTGCCTGAGGTCAGCAAGTCTGGATAGTCTTTTTCCAGAAAATTCTCCCTTCAAAGCACAACCTTGAGCTCAGAAATGACCTGTGTTCAGTCCAGCCAGTTGGCCCCATGAGGGCTTGATGCTACCCACCACCCTTGGTGAGGAAGGGTGGGCAGGCCTGACTTGGTGCAGCCAGGTTCCCCCAGCACCACCCGGGAGGCTGTGCAGTGGCCCTTCTGCTTGGGCACCACGGCTGCCTTCTGCTGAGGATCAGAAGCACACTGGGGCTCAAACACATTCAGTGGCTCCGTGTTGTCCTCTCTGTCAGATGTCAAAATTATATTTGCTGGACTGTGGGAACACAAAATGGTACAGGGCCTCTTGAAAACATTTTAGCAGTTTCTTTAAAAATTAAACATGTGACCACAGTGTTAACCAGCAATTACACTCTGGGGCATTTATCCCAGAGAAATGGAAAGTTAAAGTCACAGAACACCTGTGCACACACACTCATACAGTGTTTTTGGTCACATCCCCAAACTGGGACTTGCTCAGACGTCCTTCCACGGGGAAATGGCTAAACAAGCTTCCATCCCCTCTACACCAGGGGACACCTCAGCAATGCAAAGTAACCAACCACTGATACAGCAGCAGCCTGGATGGATCTCCAACTCAGCGCAAAAGCCAGCCTCAAGGGTTACATACTCCATGCTGCCATCTATAGACATTCTTGAAAAGACAATATGATAAAATGGGGAACACAGTGGTTTCCTGGAGTTGGGAGGAGGTGCGGGCAGGGGAGAAGTGGTTGCAGCGATAACAGGATGACATGAGGGGTCCTTGCGACCTTGCCACGCTCTGCGTGTGCTGTGTCAATGTCAAGGTCTTGGTCGTGGGATTGTGCGTTATACAAGATGTCACCATGGGGGGAAACTGTCCTGGCCAGCGAGGTCAGCCAGCATCAGGGGACCCTGTGTACTGGGCTACAAGAAGGACCTTGAAGCCTGTCACACAGATGATGGACAAGCAGGAAACAACATGGCCACCTCACTCCAGCCTTCCACATCTTGGTGGAGGCTCCGGTGGCCACTCCAAACCTGAACCTCACGAGGAGGGGAACCCTGAGCTGGAGTAGCCCAGAGACTCTCAGGGGAGCCATCATCTCAAGGCCCGGGTCGTGCCTGGCACATTTAACACCTTACACCTCCGTGTGAGCTGGCCCTTCCCCTGAAAATGGTCCCTTCCCTTGGAAAGGCCACATACCAGCCCGTGGAGAAATAGATGACAATAATCCCAGGCCCTGCGTCCCACAGCTGGTGACGATCAGAGCCCAAGTTTGAAGCCACTTCTAATTAAGAGCTCTCATTACCAAAAACCATGCTGTCTCCCACGTGTCACTTCCAAGGGCTGATGGAAAACACTTAATGTCATAAGAGCATGACGTGGAGGCAGCCTCCCCTCCGAGCTACCAGCTGGGCTCCTTTGCTTGGGGTGGGCATTTGGTCCCACACCCCGTGACGCACTTTGGGACACCCCTGGTGGAATCCTGCTTCTTGTGTAAAATCAGTAGACACATTCAATGAGATGGCTTGTTCTGCTGGAGTCTGTGGTGCTCTCTCTGCCAACGTGTCTGTCTCGCAGGCTTTCGGAGAGTTGGGTTTGGGTGTGGCTGAGCCGACAACTTCCAGCTCAGGCTCTCTCTCTCTCTCTCTCTCTGCGGCCGGGGGTGGGTCTTCTGAAAGCTTGGCGGGCTGGAGGCCCCCCTCCAAGCAGCCTTCCGCCTGCCTCGTGTGCTGGTACCAGCTGCTGGCCCCGGGGGCCTCCGGTCCTCACCACATGGGCCCCTCCATCCAGCCACTCACACCAAGGCAGGTAACTTCCCCTGCACAGGAGATCTGAGAGAAGGAGAGGCAGGGGCCCAGGGTCTTCCGGGACCTAGTTTTGGCAGGGACCTGTATGTCTACTGGTCTCAGAGACCAACCTGGTGCAACACTGAGGGGCTTGCAGGGGTGTGATTACCAGGAGGCGTGGACCACAGGGGGCCCATGGGAAGTGGGAACCCTTGACTCCAGTGGCGGGGACAGCATGGGGTAGAGAATCAGCAAGTGCCAGAGCACCGTGGAGTTGAGGACCCAGGTGTAGAGCCGGCCAGCTGGGCGCCAGGGCTCAGGGCGGGGAAAGGAGGTGCCTCGGAGGAATGTTACAAGTTCAATGCATGAGACAAGTGGTGAGGTCGGCGGGGACTGAGCCATGCCAGGTTGTTCATCCGCAGTGTTCAGTGAGGACTTACCACAAGCCAGGAACTGGGCAGAGCGAAAAGCACTCCTGTTCCTCACGTTGCTCCCAGCCTAGTGGGGAAGCAGAGGATCCCAGAAAGAGGAAAGGACAGTCTGTACCCATGATAGGACATACTGAGATGGCCAGGAGAAGCACCAGGAAACTCCCCTCCACTGCTGGAATGCTTGAGCAGCACTCAGAATAGGAATTAACAAAATATGGTTGGTGTGGGGCAGAGAGCTCCAGGCTGGGAGGCTGTGCAAAGGCCCTGTGGCACCACAGAGGGGGTGCCTCTCCAGCCTCCACTGCCTTCCGCATGAGCCCCAAATGTCTTCTGTGTCTGGATGTGTATCTTGGTGCACAGAGCTTCCACTCAATTGCCATTGAAGAACGACCCATTCGTTCTAGGGTAGTGTTTGAATGGCAGGCACTGTGCTGATCCTGGTGGGACAATGAAGAGCGAGCCTGATGGGCCCTTTGCCTGGGGCCACTCAAGGCCTGGACACGGTAGGACCAGCTGGCCTGGTTGGGGCTTGCTGATGGCCTGCCTGGCTGAGGGACCCACGTGCCAGGCAGCTGAGGGTCCCCATGTCCCCTCTGCTTTGGAGGTCCTGGATTCTGGTCCTGAGGACCACGGGGCTCCTGAAGGGGCTCATTGGACCCTGCGGAGTGGCTTTTGCTTTTCTCGGGCTCTCCTCTAGATGGTGCAAGTGGACCAGTCTTGGGCAGTGTTCCTGGTGCCCCCTCCCCCCCCCCCCAGGGGGGGGACCTTTCCAGGATGACGGTGGCCACAGGACATATCTGGCTACAGCAGTCAGCGTGGTGAGGAGAAGTTGCCTCCTAGAGCCCAGGGACCCACAGGGATGGCCACACCAGGGGCCTCAGGTGGACACAGCAACCTAGCCTGTTCTGGGCTGAGGCACCAGTGTGTACCCCACCGAACCCCACCTGTTAGCTTACCTCTTTAACAGCTTCACCCCATTGCCCCGTTAAAACTGCCAGGCCAGGAGCTGTCTTCACCCCTCTGAGACAGAGTGGACACTGTTCCCAGCTCCCAGGTGGGCAAGTCCCAGCCGGCTCTGAACCTTTCCTTCCAAATGCCAGCTCCAAGAAGAGTAAGAAAGACCCCTCCGTGCATATGGGGACCTCCTCCCCACATGGGGGGCTTTGGGATTCTGCTCTCCTATCTTCCTTCACCACTCACCACACCTCACACCCAGGCAGAGGCTGCTTGAGACCTTCTTTGCTTGACTCTTCTGTTAAGGTCCCTCCGGGTGGGGTGCAGTGACGAGCAGAGGAGCTTTCCTTAGAAACTGGTCAGGATTTGGGAGGCATATGTGAGGGTGAGTCTGTGATCTGAGTGGCAGGTGGAAGCCACTTGGGTGCGGCATTGAGGCTGGACCACCTGGGAGCCTGCCAAAGGCATCCTCTGCCTGGGGGCTGGGCCTTTGAGGCTCTGGCCCCAGCGGTCTGTTCATTCAGTTTGCTCCCAGGTGGTCTGGGGAGCCACGGGGGTGCACCTGGGAGGGACTGCAGTCCATGAGGTGCCTTTGTCATCCTTCTCTTGGGCCATGGGGGGGTATCCCTTGTCCTTTGTGCA